TGACATTAATGTCCCCTGACAGTATGTTCCTGAGGCCCTAGGACTAGTAACTGATCCCTTCTGAGTATATGACAGTGACTAAGAAGTTTTCACAGTTTTGGTGACTGTTGACTACACCATATAGATGGATGCATTCAAAGCATATACAAATGTGCGTGTAGAACTACGGACAAACATATATCTGATCATGAGCATAATCCCTATCACTTGTGCAGACCTGTTTACCTTGTCTATCTGCCTGGCAATCTATTTCTAGGTTAATGCTTGTCATTACTAATAGTGTAGGGTTTACCTTTGATTTCTCTATCTCCCATCCATCTCTCTATGTCTTTATTTCCTTTCTCTAGTGGCATCATGCTGATTACTCCTTTTTTTTTCCTTCTTTGTATTACTGAATATTCCAGCTTTTTAAAGCACTGCACATCCTGTTGCAATCCACTTCCCAATCACTGATCACTCCTTTATTGCAAAGCTGCCTGTCCTCTCAACTATCTCAACATATGCTTGACATGGTTTCAAAGATGGGTGGGTAGTTTGGGGGTTCTCCCACCAAAATCCAAAGCTTTTATCTCTTTTTTCACCCTTTCAGTTTATTTGCTGAAGAAACTGAGTTATTTGAAAGTAAAGAGAGTGAAATTCCAGATTACTAGGACCATTTTTAAACCATGGCAAAATGATCTAATTAATAAAACATGATGTCCAGATTTATTTCATAGATCCAATTGAAAGTCACCTTCTCTTTGTGGCCCTAACTGGTCACCTTATGTGCAATATCTTCATCTCCCAGACTCTCAGCAATAAATAGCTTACACCCTTATGTTTTGAGTTTTTCTTCTTTTTAACATCTATCATGAATTTATATGGTTTACTTGTTTATTGATTTCCTCCCCTTTGAAATGTGAGCTCCATGAAGATTAAGAACAGGTACTAATAAATATTTTAATGAGTAGATGAATGAAGGCAAGACAGAAATGTGGAGATGGTTTATAGGGTGACACAGAGAAAGTGAGGAAAGGACCTTCATTCACTCTGTTGGTTTGATTTGTTGTCCTTTGTAGGGACCAGAGACCCCTCTGAAGATCTGTTAAAAGGTCTCATGATGAATTGTTCTGAAGAACACTTAGTGAGGGAGGAGCCTCTCTGTAGACACTGACTTGGTCAGAGAACCTGTTGGCCCTTTCGTTGTGTTGACGGCTCAGTCATTTACTGTCCTGCCCAGCTTATCAGCAGAGCCTAAGGTGTTTGAGAAGGAGGCTTGCCCTTTCAGGCTGCCACCCTGAGTGTACAGAGGATGTCAACAAGGATGAGTCTTGAAACAGTTTCACTTGATGAAAAACAAGTTTCCCAGCCTTTAGAGGAGTTGAATCATAGACTGAAACTCCAGCTGTTCTAGGATGCAGAGTGTAAGTGAGTCACTGCTGAGCTATTCACCTGTGGTGTGGCGAGAGGTGTCACCCGTGTATGCACTCATCTTGTCTGTGGAATAAAGGTAACACCTTTTCACTTCTGCTGGGTTGCCATGAGCCTTTGTTACTGTCTGGTGATACAGGGATGTGACCATTACCTCCACTTCTACTCCAGGTCAGCCTGGCCAAGAAGGTGGAATTCTGGCTGGTCTAGGGGAGGCAGGATAATTGAGAGTGGGGCATATGGGAGCGGGGCTCCCTAAACTGTTGGAGAGTGAGGAGAAGGAGATACCTTAGGGGTTTTTTGTGGTTTCTTTTTTTAAAATTTTAATGAAAGTTTACAGAGACTTTGGATTTCCACATTTTCCTCCCTTTTCACCCCCTCTCCAGTTCACTTTTCTCTTTGAAGGGGGGACCCCTTTCATTGTTGACAATTCTCCCTCCTAGTCCACTTTACTATGCAACTCTTATTCTGGACTCTTGTCATGAAAATAATACCCAATCATGTATTCCTTTTAAACATTCTCTCCCTCATCTGTTTCAATGCAGTATACATTATTTATCCCCTCTTTTCTTAGGTTCCCCCAAACCCCGATGTCAGTCCTGTTTTACAACAGTGGCACTATGCACTTTTGGGTTTTTAAGCTGTGTAGAGCTGTTAGATCTTCCCTCCTCAGCCTTCCACTAAAGGTTTTGGCTGGAACAAATTCATTTCTAGAACTCCTGCCCTGGATAGTGTGCTTTTTCCAGTAGGAATTGAGGATGGAAGTCTGCTTCAGCTGACCCATGTCCCTGCTGCTATTCCATTGCCTTGTTGAAGAACCGCATTTCTATCTCCATTGATTGCACTGTGTGTTTATTTTTTGTGAATAGAGATTATGATTTTCACCCCTGCTGGTATCAGTAGATCTACATTATTCTCTGGGCCCTTACAGCACATATAAAGGACACTTGATTTTTTTTTTCATATACCGCTTTTCAGTGAGTCAGTCACTAGCCATACATAGCAACTTAAGATTAAGTGCATTAACATTAAATAAAATTTTCAATCCAGTTCCTCAGATACACTAGCCTCATTTAAAGTGTCCAGTAGACTCTTAGGGCTGGTTTTACTGCTACCATATCAGTGCAAGTTACAGAACATTGCCATCATTACCAGAAGATTCTATTAAACAACACTGAAAATGTTCCTACTCAAAGCTTCATGAGTGTGAGGAGGGAACCTGAGACCACTTACTAAAAATGTGAGAAAACAATGGAATTGTGAACAATTTCATTTTACTTAGATCTGAAATCAGTGACTATGGAAACAGCTGTCAGTCAAGGAAATTATATGTTATACTGGGCCAATCTGTTGAAACGACCTCTTTAAGGTGTTAAAAAGCAAAGACATCACTTGGAGGACTAATAATACACCTTAACACCTTAACACGGGCTGTAATCTTTTCAGTTGGCTCATATGCATACAGAATCTGGACCATGCATAAGGAAGACTAAAGAAGAATCGATGCGTTTGAATTATGGCATTGGTGGAGAATGTTAACCATACCACAGACAGAAGAATGAACCAACCTGTCTTGGAAGAAAAGCAGCCAGAATACTTACTGTGAGTGAGGGTGCTGACAGTTTGGCTCATAATTTGAATGTGGAAGCTCACATACCTGTCTAAGGAGAGAGAATCACTCCTGGGAGAAAGACACCAAACTAAGTAGAAGGTCAGCCAAAAAGAGCAGGACCGTCATTGAGACAGACTGACGTAGTGACTACAGAAGAGGCCTCAAATGCAGCAATGATTGTGAGGATGAGCTGAGCAGGTAGTGTTTATCCTCTTTTACCCAGGGTCCCTGAATTGGAACTTACTCACTAGTCACTAACAGCAACAAGCAGAAAGGTGAGTGGCCAATGATGAAAAATAAGCTACTGTGTATTTTATGCTGTTATTTTTACACTTTGTAATAAAGTATATACAACATAAAATAGACCCTTTTCATAATTTTCAAAACATGACACTAATTCAAAGTGTTGTACAACCAATATCACTATATATTTGCAAGACATTTTTTTACTCCAAGCAGAAGCTCTATTCATGATACAAAATTCCCCATTCCCTTTTTCTAGCCACCAGGAACCTCTGATCTACTTTCTATACAGTGCCTGTTGTGGATATTTCATAAGTGAAATTGCATAACATATATCCTTCAGTGTCTTCTTCCTTGTAGCATGCATCAGAACTTTCTGGTTTCTCCTGATAGTTCACTAGTATTCATTGTATTATTTACCACGTTTTGTTTAACCAATCATTTTTTGGTGAGCATTTGGGTTGTTTCCACCTTTTGACTATTGTGAATAACTCTGCATTGTTTACCTCCTGCTATTTTCCTGGTAAAATACTTCACAAAATAAATGCTTATTAGGGAAAGACTTGAGGTTCCCAATATTAACACACCTCACTAGAAAGTTCTCCAAGAGTGCTCTCAGCTATTCCATTGCTTGTCACCTTTTAGCATGTTGTCAGAACACGGCTGCCCGCCACTTAGCCAAGGAATGGCCTCTTCTCCCCTGACTCCATGCTCTCTTAGAAGCTCCCTGATAGAAACTCACAGAGCTCTGTGTTTTCTGAGTTAGGGGAAAAGAAAGTCCTGTCCCTTTGGTTTTCTATTTGTGTTTCTACTAAAATCAGAAAAAAAAGGTGATAAAGCAGAAAGAAGCTTGTCTAGAATATCTGTTGCTGTCTTTTCCATTCTACCCGGCAAGATATTAGTAATAAGACCAAGACTAGGTGGGACAAAAACATGCCCAGTAACACATTTAAGGTGCTGATCTTGTACTTGCATAAGCCTGAGATTGAGTGTCTGCATGACTTTTATGTCCTGGGTACCTCTCGTGCTCATCCCAGTCCAGGCCTGACTCCCTTCAGGCCCATTTAACCACCTCCTAGCAGACTTGCAGCATGATTCTAGGAATTGTGACTTGACAGTAGTTCTCGTAGTACATACAGCATCATAGCATATTGGCACCTCTCCCAGTCAGAACCCTTTATGTAGGAACTGTTTCTCTAGGCTCCTTGTACACCTGGATCATAGCAGACAGTAAATGAGGGGCTAACAAATTAAACCAGTCAACCAGGCATCAACTCAGTGAGTACAGGAGTCACTTAGCCTTTTCCACTGGGCATCGTTCAGAGAGCATCCTGTGCTGTAACCTGTCAGGTTTCATGGTGTGGCACAGCTGAGTTCTCTCACACAGTGAAGCTGACACACATCCCATCAGTGTGACTGTGGATGGGCACCGTTACCCCCACTGCCCTTCCCTGAAATCCATTCTCCTTTAGCATCAGGATGTCACCTCACTAGGCATCTCTCTGTGCAGGTGTAATTTCTCCCCTTTCTCTTCTTTACCCCTGCATCCTCCAGAATTCATGCCATTCGTGTCACTGTAGCTTCTGTGACAAAGCCAGACTGCTGAGAGCACAAGGCTGGGTCTAGGGGTGCTGTGGTTGATTTGGGAAAGGGGAGGATAAAGAAGCAATGCCTGGGCCTGCAGGCCTCTTGGTGGACTTGTGCTACATGTGCTCCTGTTCTCTGCCTCCCACAGAATGTATTGAAGAAGAGAGATCAAGTGCAAGCTGAATACGAAGCCAAACTGGAAGCTGTGGCTCTAAGGAAGGAAGATCGTCCGAAGGTCAGGGAAGACATACGTGAGGGAGGGTGTGGGCACGGCTGAAAGCTATAGTCCACTGGTGCTAAGAAAATTCTTTTCCTTGTATGTACTCAGGAAATACATGAGAGGAAGACCTGTAGACCTGTTTGTGTAAAGGGTACAACCAAGAAAAGCAGCTCAATGTCACAAAACACCAGATACAGACAATTGGGGGATCAGTGTAGAGGGCCTGTGTTGATGCTACTTTTCTTTTTATTTCTTTCTTCCTTTTATGTCTCATTTCCAAAATGCCAAATGTGCCCTGGGGTTGGGTTTTCTGCTCTTTCCTGGTTTTTTGTTTGTGTTTTTTTTTTAACTTTTAGCTCTGCCACTCACCTACTCTTCCTTTCTTTCTAAATAGTCTATCTCAGTGCTTTTCCACCTGTGGTTTGCACACTGGTCCACAAGTGTTTGCCAGGTCACGGAGCGAGATACTCAGAAACTGAGGGTAATCATTTAGGAACTTCTGCAGTGATTTGGCACTGCCAGTGGGTCAGTGGACTCTATTGTGCTTTGAGTGTTTCCTCACTGGCTCAGGGTACTGAGTGGAGAACATGCTGCATACTTACTAGCTATCTGCACAGAGAAACTATGACTTGTCTGAGTGGTAGAAGTCGGAAAAGGCCAGGACCAATGGATCCTCCACCACGAAATTTATGAGATGCTGTTCTAGCTTGTCTGTGATGCCATCCAGCTCCAGTGTTCTGGGTCCAGCTTTTGTTGTTATTGTGTAAAACAGCATCTGTCGTTTTGGTCCCTCCACTTGTCTTTCTCTTTCCCCACAGGATTAAAAGCGGCAAGTGTAATAATGGCTAGCAAGCAAGTGCTTACACGGTGTTGCACACTTTATTTCTGTTACCTGGTTCATACCACAAAACAGCCTTCTGGTTTAGTCACCATTATTACTCCTATTTGAGAGATGACCAAACTGAGGCCCTAGACCACACCAGTAGCAGATGGTAGAGCCAGGATTATAACCCGCAGCAGTCTGACTTTAGAGCCATTACACTTCTTGGCTGCTTCTACAGTTTGTAATTGGAAGTTATGTTTGTCTAAAAGGCAGTAGATGAGGGTGGGGGTGGTATCTTATTTAAAAGATAAGTATCAGGGCCCCAAGTTTCAGGGAAATGGTTTCACCTCAGAACCTGTATTATCCCCCTGCTGCCTCAGTTTTTGCTGCTGTCACTGTGCTGAGACATACCTGGAATGGAACCAGCTTTGGGAGTTTGAAACCTGAACCTCTGAAATGGTGTGCCTTTGCTTTATATGGTGCTTTTTAGTATTACTTGCTTCTCCTCATCTCCCCAGTCCTCATCTGAGACACAGAGAAATGGCACCGTTCTCTCCGCATTTCTTTCCCCAAAGCACAGTCCAGCTCAACAAATAGCCAAGCTTTGTAGAGCCAATTGTCTTCATCCCGCATGCTGTGAGCAGCAGACATACAGCACTGGGCTACAGTGACCAGCGCTGAGAGGCAAGGCTGCATGCTTTTTATGGGAAGTCAGACGATAAGGATGAAGACAGTGTTTGTAACTGGGCTGGGCCAGAGAGCTCAGCACCCTCCCTTTCTTTCCTCATCTTCTGTTTCACAATGGAGAGGCAGCACTGTGCACTGAGACTTCCAGCTGCCTGTCCTGTTCAGAAATTTTGAGCTTCCCCTGTGATGCTGCCTGCTAGGCCTGTGTCAGTCTCATTGATAGGAACTACATGCACTACTGTGTTTTTTATTAAATATGCAAACATGCCAGGCTCATGTAAAGGAGCAGCATGGTGTTCTATGTGTGCACATTTAAAAATTTTTCCTCCTGACGATTTGGTCCTTAAATATAAATATAGAAGCCACTTTTCCTGGTTGACAAGAGGAAGAGAACCAGTAAGTTCTGCCATTGTCCTACTTTGGAAGCAAAGGATCCTATATTTTAAAGTTGTCACATAAATAGCTGTTACATTGTCATGTTCTTTGCTCTGAATATAAACTTGCTCGGAGGCTTTGTCATCTCATGTCATGTTCAGCCCTGTATAAAACTATTCCTTTACCAATCCTGGAGCCATAAATTAGACGGCTGAATTAACTCTTAACCATGCCCTCACTGATTGGCTTCCTTGAAGGCAGAGGGAGCAGCTGTCTTTGGCTCCTGGACACCACCGTGCCAAGCTGCTGGGACTCCCCAGCCTCATGTCCTGACCTCCTTACTGGCCTGGGGGCCTCCTCTTCTTCCTCTGAGATGAAGAGATCTTCCTGCTACTGTATCTCCTCGGAGCACCACTTACCCACATGGATCTTTCTCTTGGTCACAGGAGTTCTTACAAAGAAAGAAGGGGTTTTTTCTCAGTAGTAGTAGTAGTTGTTGTTGTTAAGTGCCGTTGAGTTGTAGGCAACCCTTAGTGACCCAATGAGTGAAAAATCTGAACAGTTGTATAACTTTCATCATTTCTCCAAGTTCATAGGGCTTCCGGAGGCAAGCTATTTCAGAAGTGGATGCCACTGTTGCTTCCAAGCTTGTTTTAATTGAGGAGCTCCACCAAACACTGTCCACCATGGGTAACCATTATTGCATTTGACACATCAGTGTCACAGTAGTAAAAAGAATAATTAATAACCCCCATATCTATATCCTTTATAGGGAGCTCTGGTGGCTTAGTGGCAAGAAATTGCACTGCAATCCTGAAGGTATGCGATTCAAAGCCATTAGTTGTTCCACCGGAGAAGGATGGGCAGTCTCCTTTTGTGCAGTTAACTGCCTCTGAAAACCTGCTAGAGAGTCATGTCCGACTCTCAGTGACTCTGTGGGACAGACCAGAACTGCCCAGCAGGCTTTCCAAGGCTGTAATTTTTATGGTAGTCACTATCATATCTTTCTTCCTTGAAATGCCTGGTAGGTTTAAATTACCAGCCTTTCAGTTAGCAACCGAGCAAGTTAACCACAGTGCCATCAGAGCTCCTTTTATGAGAAATATTGGTCTGGGCGAGGAGCAAAAAACCCACCACCGTCAAGTCAAGTCATTCCAACCCAGGACAACCCTCTTTTGGGTTTTCTAGGCTGAAATCTTTACAGCAGGAGGTTGGCCCATCTCTCTCCTGAGAAGTGACTGGTAGGTTCCCTGGGTACCTCTAGCTCACTCTCTCTAATTCACCTCTTGGTCATCTTTCCTAGTAACCTTTGATGACTCCTTTGTTGACCCTAGAAGTGTAGTCTTTCTAGTTCTGCCATCTGCCCCTCCCAGCCCCATCACCCTGTGACTGAAACTCTCCCCTCTATTTGGCTGATGCCCAGATCAGTGCCTATAATCCTGTCCTTTGAGTCCTTCAATAGCACTATTACCAACCTTGTCACCCACACTAGAAGCTTCAGGCTCTTGTCTAACTCTTTGCAGCTTTTTCTCACATGCAGGTGGCTGTTAAATCTGTAGGTTCTGTTGCCACCAGGTTAGGCTATTCCATCTACGTCCTTGTTCCACAGTGCCCCTGGCAGTTTCGTTACAGGGCGGTCTAGTGTTAAATCACCTCTGATCTGTGGTAGAATCTCAGGATGGGGTAGAGTGGGTGAAGGGTGGCAAACAGTTTGGAAACAATAACATGAATATATTTTATGTTTGGTAAACAAAACCAGAAGCCTCTTTTATAATAATAGGGAGTAAAGCTTAAGAAAATATTCTTGACTTGAGGAGCTATGGACATGATGATTTATTTTCTGTGGATTGTGATTTACAGTTTCTGTACCAATATGAGCTGACATTTCTGAGCCCCTGCTGTATACCAGACACTAAGGGGTTTATGTGCATGACCACATTTAACTCTCAGGTGGGGAATATTATTTCCCAGAAAAAGAAGCTGTGGTACAGAGAAACCCAAAGTCACAAACCTAGTAAATGGTTATTGTGTACCATTGAGTCAGAACCGACCCATAACTGACCCTCCAGCAGGTTTTCAAAGGCACTTAATCACGTGGGAGGAGATTGCCCATCCTTTTCCCGAGGAGCAGCTGGTGGATTTGAACTGCGTGACTTCAAGATTTTAGTCCAGCTTCTTATCACTAGGTGACCAGAGCTGGTAGACATGGTATTCAAATTCTATAAGTGTGACACTGGAACTCTCTTCCACAGTTAGAGGAAGGAAGAGGCTTTTGTGTTTTCCAAAAGGGGAATGGATATAATGGACCTTGGAAATCCTGGCCTTCAGAAAGCTTCCCAGGATTCAGCTGTCACATGTGATAGGAGGATGGCTAGTGCTCAGCATTGTATCAGATGTCACAACTGCCCTTTGGTGGGGATTTACTACCTTTCCTGGCTCTATTAGAAGTGCCCACTTAGCAGTCCTCTATAAAGTTGGCCAACTTCAGAAATGGCCCATTTAAAACTGTTTACCCCAGTTTCTACTCTTTTTTTTAATCACCTCTTCTCTCCCTCCCTACTCTGACCCCCATCTCACCGGCCAGAGCTCTCTCCACCTCCCCTTGTGTGTCCTCTAGCCTCGGGAACAGTTCTCCCTCACCTCTGTCACCTGAAGATCTGGTCCTCCTGGATACCCTCTTTCCCACTACCATATGGCCCATCTCTATGATCCTCACAGAGTTCCCTCTTTGCTGACTCCTCAGGGAAGCCTGGTCCTTCACTCACGTTGGACCAGCTTATCCTCCCTGTGCTCTTACCACAGCCTCTCCAAGCACAACAAGGCACTTGTCACACCTCACTTTATGATCTGGGCATGCTCATTTTCCTCCCACACTAGGCTGTAAACTCCTAGATAAGATTTCTTTATGAAGACATACACACTTATGTATTCTTTCATGCCAAGCATGGAATCTGTAAATTAAATATTTCCTAAGTTGAGGTTGAGGCAAACAGAATCCAGAGTCTTGATTTTTGTGGGTCAGTCAGATGTTCTCATCCTAAGCAGAGTTCAGGAATCTTTCCTAGATTATTAAAATATTGTTGTTATGTGCTGTAGAGTTGGGACCAACTCATAGCTAACTCTTCTGAGTGGTTTTCAGAGGCTCTTAAGTCACACAGGAAGAGATTGCTTATCTCTCTTCCGTGGAGCAACTGGTGGATTCAAACCACATACCTTTGAGTTGACCATGCAGCTCCTTACCACTAAACCACCAGAGCTCTCAGCTTATTAGAGCCCCTTGGAATCAGCGACCCTGGCCACTGCCTCATTGAGCCTCTCTGGTTGTGCCTCGGCATTATTCTTTGATCGAGCTCCACTTTTTCTCCTCGTGACTGTCATTTTGTTAGACAAACAGGAAGGTGCTGCTGGGACCTTTGATCCATGGGCAGTTGACAGGTGGAAAATGTGGGAAACGGGTTATGTCTGCAGGGAGATGAACTGCCTGTGGCTCTGTGGACATCCAGGAGGCTGGCTGACAGGCACATGTGGGGAGACGGGTCTCCAGAGTCAGGGCACTCTTGCTTTTATTTTCACTTTCCCTGAAATCATCAACAGTAATGGGAGCATCCGCAGAAGGCAAAAGTAGTTTGAGTTGTGATGTTAAAGGAAGAAGTCAGTGTAACCTCACTCAGTGGCTTGAGTGCCTTTCTCTGCTTTTGGTTTTGGGTTTCCCCCCACGCCCCAATCTGTCTCTTTTCATATTGCCCAGGGTCCCCAAAAGTTACTCATCCTTGTCTCCCATACTAGGCTCACTTGAATCTCGCTGCCTAGATCACTTCTCTCATCCTCCATCCTGTGTACTGTAGTCATTTCTGCATGTTTTGGTGGTAGGTAGTGGAGCACCCTAAGCACTTTTGGGAGCCTGAAGGAGCCTGGCTAGCTCAGGTCTGGCCTCACGATTATTGTTTCTAGATTGACTCCTTTTCTCTAAGGCTTGGGCACAAAACACCCCTAGATAGTAGATACTGACCCATAACTTGGAGATACGTGATGCCATAAGGCCCCAGCACACAAAACATTCCAGACCTCATTTATAGTTGGAAAGCATTTGACAAGTGGGCACTTGAGCCAGATTTGTGCATCCTGATTCCCTGATCATCATCAGAGTTGGGAGAGCAAATGTTTTAGAAGAGAAAGTGGCTTTGTGTTTTGGGAACTACCATAATCACAAGAATATCTCTGACTGTGCAATGAGTGAAATCCACCAAAGCAATTATATAAAGTTGTGGAGTCTATGTGACATTTCCACTGTGGATCGTTTTCTAAACATCTTTAAGAATGACTTGAAGGGAGCTCTGGTGGCCTAGTGGAAAGAAGTTGCACTACAATCCCAGAGGTACAAAGGTTTGAATCCACCAGATGCTCTGCTGGAGAAGGAGGGGCAGTCGCCTCCTGTACCAGTCAGATCCAAGTTGATGGTGTACGCGCGCGCGCGCACACACACACACACAGAATATAAAAAAGAAGTCGTTTTCCCCAAAAAGAATGACTTGAAGAGAAAAAAATAATAATGACTTGACATAACATCCTATGAGATTTCTTTTTGTCTTCCAAATTCTTTTGACATGTACAAATACTTGGTTTGTCATTCCCTCTAGACTTACTAACTCTTCATTTTTTATTATCTACTATCTAAGGGTACTAGGCTCGGGGCTCTTAGGGCTTTCTTTTTGTCTTGCGTGGGTATTAGCAGATGAGACTTACCAGATGAATTGAGGGTCTCTGGCCCAGAGTCCGTCTGCTAGCATTTGGGCATGCCAGAATTGTAAAATGATGTAGGGCCCGAGGGCCCCAGGCCCTCAGGCCTGGTTTTAATTGTTTTTGGTCAAACACTCTTCTAGGTAGTAAAGCCCTGGGCTGTCCACTTTCTGTACAGAGGTAACTCGTGGTTGCTGTGAAGCTGAACACTGTGACACTGATGTGTCAAATGTAATAATGGTTACCTGTGGTGAACAGTATTTGGGGAGCTCTCTTATTAAAACAAGCTTGGAAGCATGAGTGGCATTCACTTCTGAAATAGCTTGCCTCCGAAAATCATATGAACCTAGAGAAAGGATGAAAGTTATACAGGTGTCCAGGTTTTTCATTCATAGGGTCTCTATGAGTTGCCATCACTTAACAATAACAACAACTATCTAAGGGCACATTGACAAGTCTATGGTTTATTGGAGTTCAGAGAAGGAAGCCAGCCAATGGTCTTACCATTGCGATTAATTTTATGCTTAATAAGGGAAAGTCAACTTCTCTTCTAGTTACGGTATGAGGCAAAGAAGACTGGCAGAGCAGTATAAAGTGTTGCTGTATTATTTGCAAAATCTGTACAGATCTATTTGTCTCTTAAAAGGAGCCAAAGTATATTACTGCTTGGATTACAGTACTGCTTCTTCCTGATTGTAAGCCAAGGTGTTTCTCCCAGGACTTTGTGTTATACCTCCTGTTATGTGCCATTAAGTTGCAACCAACTCATAGCTAACCCTCTAGCAGGTTTTCAGAGGTAATTCCTGCAGAGCAGCTGGAGCTTGCAAACCACATGCCTTGGGGACTGCAGAGCAGTAGCTTATTTGAGGTAGGAGGGCCCCTTTCAGAATCCTTTCTTAAGCTTGAAAGTCTAAGGTTTCTGCCTTTAAATAAAAGCTTTGGAGTGGGAGCTTTTTGATGACATCTTCAGGTAGTATTCTGGTCCTTTGCATATATGTGAAGAGAGGAGCTCAGGACCAGGGATACCAGCAGCATAGATCAAGCATACCACGCACCCACGTGTGCTTCCCCCTTCCAGGTGCCGGCAGATGTTGAGAAGTGTCAGGACCGGATGGAGTGTTTCAATGCTGACCTGAAAGCCGACATGGAGAGGTGGCAGAACAACAAGAGGCAGGACTTCCGCCAGTTGCTCATGGGAATGGCTGACAAGAACATTCAATATTATGAAAAGGTAATGAGTGAGCCCCCAAGTCCTGTCATTAAGGAACCATTTTTTCCTGGCCAGAGCCTTCAGTGAGCACTCATCTGAAACCCAAACACAGAAGCTCTGTCTGTACCATCTCCTTCTTACATTTTATGTATTTAGTCTTAACTCCCTCAGTGTGTTTTTTGCCCAGCTGTTCTAGACACAGTACTAGGTCTGCAGTCAGAGCCACCTCCAAGCTCCCACTCTCTTGGGTTCTACTTGCCCGTGCTTCAGAGAACAAAGGCACCTTTATCTTCTGGTCCTTTGATCCTGGGGCAGGCTGCTTTCCACGGTCAGTCATCTCTTCAGTGTGAGGCTGCTGCCAGTGATGGCAGCTTCAGGCACTTTCAGCTCTCTTGGGTTTTACAAACAGGCATTCTTTACTTTCATTGCATCATGGACACTTTTCATTATACGGTGGAGCCTGTACAGCCCTTATCAGAACACTGAAAACCTCACTAGTTGCCACCAGCACAGACTTGTGGGGGCCCCATGTGTAGAACTGAACTCTAGAGGGTTTCCCGCAGCTGATCTTCTAGAAACAAGTCACCAAGTCTATTTTCCAGGGTGTCTTTTGTTCAAACTCCCCTCCCCCTTTTAGTTAGCACCAGAGCTTGATTGTCATTTGTACCATCCAGAGACTCTCCTTACCAGAATATTGATTTTTAAATACCTGAAATAAAAGTCTTAGCATTACAAAGGAAAGTAAGTATATTTAAAGAATATTTTATTCATTATGTCTTTGATCTATGGACCTCAGGTTAAGCAACCCTCAACTTGCCCTCAGGCATGGACCACCACTTGATTTCCTTTAGCTCTGGCTTAATTTTTAATCAAAGTTTATTTCTAACATCTAATAATAGATCATTTCTACTAATGATTTCATATGTTCCTTAAAAGCTTAAAGTTTTAGATGACAATCTAAACTCACAAATCAATCACAAGTCAACATGTGACGTGTAGGCTTGAAATCAAGCTGTTGGAAACCTGCAGCCTCCTGGCATAATAGGCTGTCTGTGCAAAGGTGGCCAATCACTCCAGATGTCATCAAGGCCTCGTTCCTCTGCATATTCGTCTCCTCATTTGAAAAATGGAAGTGATTTTTCTCCACACCACAGTGGTTAATAAGCAGTCAAACAGTGTGTGAGTGCCTACAACATACCTGGCACACAGTGGGCACATAAATATTCATTCCTTCTATGGGCTTTCACCCTCCCTCTGTTATTCCTTGGCCTTCTTACAACTCTACAGTAGATCACTCCCCTTGGTTTTTCATCTCAACAGTCCCAATGCCCTGTTCCCAGGACTTGAACCCATGGTTATACTTGATTGCCTTCCCACCATGCCACTGAGTCACTGTCTTGGGCCCTCGTCTTAGCTCCTAGGTTCATTTAACAAATACTTCTTCTGTATTTACTGTGTGTAGTCTATGTATAAATTGATAAGCAAAACAGCTGGAACCCTACCCAGAGAAAAAAGAAGGATAATGAGTGCCCACATCCCCCAGGCCTCGTTTATTTGCTGGACAGCCCCGCCCCCCATCTGCTGCACTTCACCTTGCACTGTGAGACAAGGGCCCCGACTACTCCCTTCAGTATGCTTCACTGGAGCCTTCAGTCTAGGGGAAGAGACACATGAATCAGGGAATCCTCCACCTGCAGAGTGAGATGCATGCACTAAAGGAAAAGGACAGGAAGCTGAGAGAGAGTGCTGGTCCTCTTGGTTACCATGGAGCCCATTCCAACTCTCAGTGACCCTCATGTGCTCTATAGGTTTCCAAGGCTGTGACCTTCAGCAGACAGATCCCCATGCCTGCCTGCTTTCAGAGATGCATCTGGGTGGTTTCAAACCACCGAGCTTTGACTGGTAGTGGAGCACTTACTGTTTGTGCCACCTATGGACTCCTTAGAAGAGAATGAATGATAGGGGCACATTTTAGATTAGGGGTGGAAGGAAACAGGAAGAGCTGATTTGAAGAAATATTATTTAATCTGAGTTTTAAAGACAAAGACTTGGGGATCCAATATTCCAGGTGAAAGGAATGGCACCTTTGATAGGAAAGAACTTCATGTGTTTGACAACTGAAAGCCTGTGTATCTTCAGTTCCTCCTTATTGATGTGGAAGGAGCTTTCTAGATCTGAAACACCTCTTACCTCTCTCACCCCTGTCACCCTGTGGGCTGCCACAGACCCAGAAACAGGCCCCTCACTGAAGCAAGCTCCTTGAGGTTCTTTGTGCTTCCTTTCTTAGGGCAAGGTTCCAGGTCTGGTGCTTCTCCAATCTCAGTTACCAAAGAAAGAAGCAAGGAGCAGTTTCACCATTCCTTTCCAGCTTAATTTAAAGATGCCTCTCCTTTTCAGCTCCCCACCCCTATCCTTTGTCAGGTGATTTCTCTCCAAGTCCTCCGTCGCCTCTGGACTCTCTTATAAGAAAGGTCTAGTGCAGTCCTCCTGTTCTTCCTTCCATGTGAGAGCACACTCAAACAAGGGGCTTTCCGCTAAGGAGGGGCATCTTGGAGAAGAGTGCCAGGGTCTTCTGACTTCTTGGTCTTTCACAGGATCTAGATGAAGGCAGATTGGTATAGTAGAAAGAATGTCAGTTTGGGAATCATGTGCTATGATTAACTGTGTTAACTCTGTATGTCTTGGGCAAGTTACTTCCCAGGAGTTGCTCATGCACATCTATTAAATGGGGATTTTGATGTCATAAATCGTAGTAATCCTACCTCTCATGATAATAAGTGTGAAAAGTGTAGCAGTTTAGGAATATAGCAAAACTCCATAAATACCGGGCCTCTTCCCCCATTCTCCTTTTGGAGACCCAAGAAGTACCCCAGACAAGCAAATCTGAGGTTAGTGAAGAGAAGTGGGTCAGGTGGCTGGCCTGTGAGTCGGCCGTTTCCAATTATGATTTCCATTCTTTGACAAGCACCACCCTCCCTGGTTTTGAGCCCCTATCAGGGTTGACAATCTACCCTGGTTAGTCTGGGGCTTGTTGCCTGATCTCTTTTCTGCTTTTTTTTTTTAAAAAAAAAAGGAAAGAATTCCTTCTGATGGATACCTTTCCATTCATGGGTAGGAGGTGTTTGGACTCTCATGGATGCATTTAAACCTTGCATTTACATTTAAGAAGTAGAAGTGCCACATTCAGAACAACCACCTGCTACCTCCTCTGATTGTAGGTAGTAGGTCAGCCAGGATTTTCAGACAAAGGTGAACCAGCAGGTTTGGCAATGAAATCCCAGGTCGGAGCAGCATTAGGAAGCTGAACCTCAAAATCTGATCCTCAGTGCTGATACTCTGTATGTGTGTGTTGTCATTTCAGTGCCTCATGGCATGGGAGTCGATCATTCCACTTCTGCAAGAGAAACAGGAGGCCAAATAAGTTCCTTCCTGGGACAGAGACTCTCCCTACCTGCACAGGGCATGGCTCCCTGTACCAGAATGTCCCCGCAGTGCCAGAGAAGCCACGCTGGGAAAACCACCCTGGAGCCATCTCTCCGACGTGTATTTCTATCCTTCCTCCCCCCACCAACCCTGTCCCACAGTGGTTTTTAATTAGTATTTACTCCTTGGTGGAGTGTCCAAGGCTACAGTCATCTCTCAGCAGTGAAGCCTACCTCCTCCGTGTTATGAAGGAACCCCTTAAAAGAAACACTAACAAGATTTGCCACTGAGGAACAGGAGCACCCTCAGCTGACATTCGGACATCTCATTACCGTTTTCTTTCGGGACAATTGAGTTACGTGTTGTAGGAGAGAATCCAGGTCCTGATATTTTGTTGTGTTGTTTTTTCTTCAAGACACAAGGGGGACATGAATTGAGCACGGCTGTTGAGTCCCATCTGTACACGATGGCTCTAGAAGTGGCCTCTGTGCACATTGATTTGTCTCCACCCAGAATGTGTTGGTGCCTCATGGAAAGTCCTTACTGTCCCGTGGCCTGTAGCCATAAGTGTGGCCTGCTGCTTGCTTGTGTTGAGTGACGCCTGTCTAAGGTTCTAGTCTGTGTGTCTGGTTTATGACTTAGTCCAGTGTCTACATATGTCTATGCTTGAGCAAGCAAGCCAGCATCCTGATCTTTACACGATGTTTGGGGAAGCTCCAGGGACGCTCCCTGAACTTGTTTCTGATGTGAGAATGCAACAGATTAGAAATGGTCTTTGTGTAAAATGGAAAAAGAGTGTGTGGGGGGAGGGAGAAGCTGCATCTTTCTCTGTGAAGTTTAGATGTTTTTCTTTTGCTTGTTAAGTGTTGTCAGAGTAGGGTTTGACCTTTAGGAGATACCTGTTGTCTTGAAGTCAAAGTAGTTCCCAGCCCATTGGTGTCAGTGGACATACCAAGCCCCACCTTCAATATCTGCCTTGTGCAATTTGCCTTGACCCCACCTAAAACACCTACTTTAATATTCCCCACTGCGTCCACAGAATGTTTGGACAACCTTTTGGTGAAAAGGCTGGGATGTCGTCATGTGCTGACAGTCTGAATTTGTAAATTAGATGTGAATATTCTACATGAAGTGCTTTAACCCTTAATATTGCCTGGTCAGGAAGAAACGTCCATGTCTGGACAAAGCTCTAAGACACGTGTAACAGCTTAGCTAGAATCTCCTCAATTTGCAGCCATGTTCCTGGAGTGTTCACTTCAAGCTATTATCAAAGTTACTTTTCACATCAACCTGAAACAGACAAAAAGTTCTATCTTCCAACTTGGTTTTTTATTCCTCCTCATGAAATTAAGTTATGTATGTTGTGTTTCTCATCTTTCATCTGTGGCTCACTCCTATAAAATTATAAATCTGAGCCTCAAATAAGTGGTAACATTTCCAGCCCTCATCATCCCCCAGGTGAAACAGCCATGCTTAGATGCTGCTTCACGCTCAAGGTGAGGTGTGCATACCAGTCAGCACGCAGCATGTTACGTTGCTTGGTTCCACTCTGACTTGGAGTTGACCTTGGGGAGCCAACCTAAGGTGCTGTTGGAGCAGCATTTGGGGATGACACAAAACACCTTGGCTCTGTTTCATCACATCTGAGAAGTCCCAGTTTAAATGACAGTTTTCATCTCTCTTGGTCTGTGCTGTTAGAACCTCGCTCATGCCATTTATAAAATTTCTACAGTATGACATTCTCAGAAACGATCCATGGAAGTGGCAGAAAAGGAGCAGTTTCTCTGCCCCTAGTGATGATTCAGCATTTCATTCATTCTACCTCTTATGCGCATCCTGTTGGTATGGATATGAGTGTCCGGACCTGGCCTGACGGGTTGCTGGTAGAATCATTGTGTGTATCTATTGATAATTTGTATAAGAAACTAGATTGGCTTAGCTGCAGATGCTCACCCCTGGAGAAGCATGAAGCTGTGCCTTGTGGGATGCATGTTCTAACAATGTTGCCCCGTGTGAAGAACACATGGAAAAAACTGTGCAAAGACTGAAAACTAGAACCTCATTCCCTGCTGGTTCTGCTAGTTGTCAAAGTCTGGAACATTTCCTGTGTAGTGGCTCTTTAGGAAAGAAGTCAGCCTTTCTGCCAAATTATCTAAGCCTTTGTGGAGAGAAGATGGGGTGCACAGCACAGGTCTTTCAGGCAGGGAACTGAAAGGATTCAGGAATCTTGGGATTTTGCTTTCATTTACTTGAGGCCTCATGTGGTGGTTCTGCGCTTTAATAAACCAGAAAGAGAGAAAACAAGGCAAACCTGTCCCTCAGTAGAGCTAGGGGGACTCGGATATGTTACTAACATCCTTGGAAAAAACAATCTTTCCAGAGAGGGGACCCTTGTTCCTTTCTTCAGGTTGACAGGGAGGTGAGGAGGCTGGCCTGGAAGGAAGGGGACAGTAGGGAAGGAGGTTCTCCAGCCCTTTGTGCCCCCACAATTCTCTTGGGTCTCACACAGGTCAGCAGTCACAAGCATTCATCTCTTCATTTTGATCAGCACTAACGTGGTTCCTTCCGAGTGTTGCTTGGAGACTTCTGTGCCAGAGACTGCTTTGTGAAGTTTCATCACCCCATCCTCACCTCCACAAAGTTGTGGTCCTGAGATCTCCTCTCCTGGGTTTATTCTCCAGGAGTTTTGTGCTTGAGAACACACCTTCCCTCAGAGATGAGGAGATGCTGGAATAGAATGGAGGGGCATCTGGGGCCAGCCACTCCTTTGGGACTGAGAAGTGACAGGTTTCATCCACCACAGATTAAAAATGCAGGTGAAAGAAATAAAAAACACAAAAAAACAAAAACAAAACCCAAAAACCAAACAAACCCCAGAAGTCCTAAAGAGAGATCTTGAGATATGGTGCTCTTTGAGGGAGTCACGATTCCTTGTCACTGTAGTGGATCTGTAAGAAGATTCAAAGCTACTCTGCCCAAAACAAAGAACCACTGCTTCTAAGTGAGGAAGGAAAGTGCTCTGACAGCAAGATGTGGGGTTGGGTTAATCCTTTATAAGGTATTCATAATGATCCTTGGTGAACAGAAATGAGCGCAGTTATGGAGACCATCATCTTAGTGGCTCACCATCCTGTCTGAGGACCTTACCAGACCTCTTTCTTTAGCTGAAATAACAAAGAAACCTAGCCTGACCCTTGGGACTGTGGTGACTGTGAGATAAGTTTTCTTTCATGCCAAATTTCAGCCACATCCGGAGTGTATTCTAATAGTATTGTGTTCTGGTATTTTTAGTCACCACTCCACATGATTAAATTAAATGCACTTGTGCTATTCACTTCTCACGAGGCTGCCTCTTGTGATGGGACAACACTATTCTTTAGAGCAGGGCAGTGGCCGTGTGGCAGCCTGCAAGGGGAGGTGTTAGCCTGGCAATGTACTGGCCCCTGGTACTTGGAGCTGTGTGACTCACTCTTGCTATTGATGGTGTTGAATTCTCAGGCACCTGGTTCTGTTGTGATGTTAGTCTTTGGATTGCAGTCCACTCGGGCACTGCATTCTTGAGCTGGTGAGAGAAGAGAGAGTGAGAAGTAGGCCTGTGTTAGCCACGTCTGTTTGGAATGTGAGATAGTACAGGCAACTCGCTCTGGTTAGGTGGGGTTGCTAGCAGCCCTGAATGGTGTACCCCTCAACAGATGAGCTATCCTTGGTCAGGGCAGGCCTCTCCAGACCCAGATCCCACCTTCCCAGACCCCTACTTTAGGGCTTATGAAACAGAGTCATTATATGACTGAGGTTCAGTTGCCTTTGTTGCCTCGATTTGCACAATTATGTTGGGAGTTGGGTGGGTTTTCTCATTTTCAGAAGTCCTCAAAATGGCAACAGATTGGACATGCCCCTTCACTTATGTTTTCTCTATTCAGATAGTAGGTGATATTTATGAGCAAATTTGATGAAAATGCCATCTACTGGGCCAAATTTATGTATTAAGCTGAGTGTAAGAGTGTTCATTTCTTGTGGGTTGTTTTTTTTATTCAATGAGTAAATGAGCCCGATTTCTCCCCAGCGCACTCGATGGGTTGTCACCATGTGTTTTAATATCGTCAGTCTCCTCAGAGTTTACAGAGTGTGCTGGGACTGTCTTTATTGGAACCAAGACAGGGCTGTTAGGGGGCTTGATGGTTCGTTTGCCATCTAATCATGTTTCACATGCATTCTGAATATGACTGTGTATGTAACCTTTTCTTTGTGGCAGAAGAATATGTAACCCTGGTAGTTCTTAACTACTAGAGGTGGTCTGCAAATAAGTAGGTTTTTTGGTTGTTTTGTTTTGTTGTTTTAAAAAAGAACTTTAGCAGATCTTTAGGATATTTGTGTCCTATATAAACACTCTGTGTAGTTAGCACTTGAAAATCAACCAGCCTGAATTTTTAAAATGCCACAGACTGTTAAAAGCTGAACTGTACTTTTTGAGAGGGTGTCAACACCTATTTATGCCTTACTTTTCAACTAGTATTTTTTACATTTGGGGATAGAGTCTTAGAAATGTAATCAGCTGTTCAGCTTAAATACTATAGATCTGACATCGTCCTCAGTCCTCTTAAAGAGACAAGCAAGGAAGTGGGGCTCGCAACCAGGCTGCCTATTTGGAGGAGAAGGCTAAGTATTGCTATTGCCAAATGATATTTTTTAAAATAATGTGAGGAAACACAGGGACCACAAAACCTCTTTGTGTTAAAAGTATGAAATGATTAATTTAGTGCCTTTTTGGGCACACTTTTAATTGTAGTAGAGCCATCAAGTCATATAGGTACGAAGAAATTTATGGATTTACCCCTAATTTACACAACAGCTTTTTAAGATCCTGCGAGGGGGGACAGCAGCTCAGAGTAGCATGTTTGGGATAGGAATTCTCTACAGGTTGAAATGCCAAAAGCATAACCTATTGTATTACTCACATAATTTAGACCGCATTAACAGCTTTTCCTGGAAGGAAGTACA